AGCTAAGGATAGGTGAGTAAGAGACACCACAAATTAAGATGGCTGTTTGTTAGCAGAGCTGGGTGGGAGAGCCCAGGAGTGGAGCAGCGGTCAGAGTTACAGGCTTCAGGGAAAGTGAATGCAGTGAGTGCAATAAGGAGGGAAGCTGCAGATCGAGCCTGAAGTGTTTAAAGAAGAGAAGGCATCCCAGCGCCTGATTTTTACTAGCATATTAGTATCTGATATTCATGTTCTCTGAGATTCATCCAATTAACCAACCAATGAGTATTACTAACATGTCCTGTTGCAGAAAATACTATTGACGAAGGAAAGAGAATGTCAAGAAAGTAATTTTTAATGGTTATTTATTTATATCGAATGGTACTAGAGCGTTATTAAATATGATGTGAATAGTACGATATTGCACCCTTGTCTTGTCTTGCAGCATAAGTGCTTGCTTCTTTTCCAGGAAAACACAGCGGACTCTGTAATTGAGAATGTATCAGTTTTAGTTGTTCTCATTTCAAGGGTACTCCCTTTAGTCTTCATCTGACCCAAATGCCACAAGAGAAATTCAAGCAAAAACATTTCAGTTCCCTGAGACTGGTGCCTGCATTATGGAGATGAAGGAAAGAGACAGAAGGAGACAGAATATAGCCTGAAGTCCATAGTCTTATGGCATCTCTAGCAGCAAGCTGTCATTTTGGTGACGTGGTGACAGTCCCAACTGAGATTGCCCTCTAAAGGTGCTGACCACAACTCAGAAGTGGGTGGTGGTCAAAACATAGGGCCGGCAGTCAGTTCCCCATCACAAGGGAGAGGGGAAAGGTGCCACGAACTGTCTTAGTGCAATGGCAAGCTGCGTTGCACGGTCATGCCTAAACAAGGCTGCTGCTGGCAGCGAGCAGGCTGCCTGACTTCCGTGGAGGTCTACTGGGTGACGTCGTGAGGTCTGTTCTGCAGGGTGCATGGTATCCACTCCAGCTCTGTTGGGCCAGCCAGCTCCTGCACACTGTCCTCCCCCCTGGGAAGAGCCAGGACAAACTCTCCTGGTAGCAGTATGGTAAGTCACAAGGGGTCTCCTGCAGGAATGTGGGTACACATCACATCTCAGGTCTCAGCAAAAATTGATCCAAGGTCATATATCCATTTTGCCTGTCTAGGCAAAAAAGTCTCTCCCAAGTGGTTCTGGAGGCCATGAAACCTCTCAAGAGACATTTTTCAACTTCCTTCCTCCTGGAGGAGGACCAGTTGCTCAGGACAGGAAGCGATGGGAAGCAGGCGAGGGCAGTAGCTTGTGGCCCTCTGCAATACAGCCCCACTGCATCTCCTGGGGCAAGGGGGAAGACACCCAGGAGCCGCACCAACAGGGTAAGGAAGCACAGGCTAAGGCACTACAAGGTCTAGCCTTCCTAACCAACCGCACAACTGTTTCAGTCCCTGCTTCTGCCAGTCCCTGTAAGCTACAACCTACTGGGAAAAATGTATGAACTCTCACTGGGGCACTAGATGTCAGTGCAATGGGATCAGGTAGGGAAGCAACTCTAGTCTCTTGGTTTCTCCTTCTCTCTCCAGACCGGAGGCGAATGGATGGGCCTATTTGACAGGAGCCCACTGCTGGCTAATCCACAAGCCTGGGAGAAGCTAGTAGACCCAGGTCCTGTTTCTAATGTTCTCACTGATTTACTCTGTCATTTCGCCAAGGTATGTCACATCAGCTATCTGTAACTTTGGGGTTTTTTAACAACAAGGGACCCACCTCTCAGAAACATGGAAGCACTTTTAAGACTCTCTTGAGGAAGCATTGCTAAAAATTTAGCATACTAGAGTACAAGCCAAATCCATCCCAGTGTAAGAAAAAAAATCACATTCACAAAGGTGTTGCTTAAAGCGCAATGTGAAGTTTACAAGTCAAGATCCTGCAAAAGGCTGAGTAAGAACTGCCATGGCCAGAGTTACCTGAAACATCCACCCCACTAGAAAACACTGTCACCCTCAAGAAAGAGGGACAGCTCTGCTTGGCTATGGTGGCTGAAAGCCTCTACGATGCCTGTACAAGGATTAATGGTACCTTCCTCTTCCCTTGACAGAAACCCTGGGGGTTGGGAGGGCAGTGGGCAAGACATTGACTGACAGTGCCTGAGCACCCTGCTTGGTATCACTGTGTTACACCAGCGCATCGTTCCTCCCCTCCTTGGGCCCTGCATTTTCAAGGCCAAGCTTCCCAGCCACTCTGCTGCATTTTCAACAGGGATCTGGTGCAGGCCCCGGGAGACAAAGCAGGGAGGAGAAGGGGAAAGAGAAAGAGCAAGCAAGAATGAATCTTACTAAACGGAGCGAGGTACTTCTCTCAGTCTCTCATCACGTTCGGGGCTGATTGGAGGTGAAATTACACTTGGAGGAGGGGAAGCCCCCTCCCCTGGGACAATCCAGAGGCTCTCGCACAAACTTAATTTCAAGCTCTGTTGAAGATGGTGTCTTTTTTTTTTTTATGCATTCAATTTAATTTCTCAGGCAGACGTGTGAAAATGAGAAAGGCAGACCTTTGACTGTGAAGACAGCCCGGTGCCTGCTTCTTAGAGATCCAGTCTCACATTGTTTTCCTCCATCACTGCCCTCAATAACTCTGTGCGCAAAGGTTGCTAAAATGCCCACCACCTCCCTTCCACGCTTCGGTGGAGACAGTTAAATTATTTTTTTTGCATTTAAGGAATCCGATTCATTTTTAATTTAAAACACACCCCAGCTTTCAACAGCTCTGTTCAAAACGGGAGCACTGTGACCTTGAAAAGTCTCAGACCTGCTGGCACCTGATCTGTACTCTGCTCTCCAGTCCGTACTTGTTTGCTCTCTTGTGAGAAAAAGGGTCATGGTGTTTTCTGATCCACCTGTTTTGGTGCCAGTGGCTGAAGGGGAAGGAGAGGGACTGCATTTGGTTTTGGAAGGCTCCTGAGGGAGACATTCCTGGAGATTCAGCTCTCCCAGCCCGCACAGAAACACATGCTATTCAGCTCCTCTGCAGACACGGTCTGGCTAGTTGCATGTTAGTTTTCCAGTCTTGAGAGCATATATACACACAGGTAAAAATACAGCTTGGGGTAGGCTGTTGCCTTTCCAGCTGACCTGCTTCTTGTGCCCAGGAACAGACACAAAGTGACGATTTTTACAACTAAGCCCTGACTGCCAGGAAGTTAGCAGAGCTGCCGGCGCAGGACGGTTCCAGCAGGTCCGGCTTCTCCCTGTCTCCGAGACAGATGGAAGCAGACAGTCCTTGCCCAAGTGGTTCCTACATCACAATTTCCTACTGTGGCCCAAGGGGTAAAGCATAAAGCAGTACCAGGCTCTGAAACAATTGCTGTCTGCAACCCCAGGTCATACCATGAAAATCTTGGTTCCTCTGTTTGTTTCATGGTTGACGCAGAGACTAATTCTTTCCTGTCCATGGCACTGTACTCGCTGGAGCTTTCAGCGGAACAGCGAGTGTTGCTTTGTTTTACGGAGGGGAAGATAAGCCAGGTGGGTTTGCCGTGGTCATGGGGGGAATGGCACAGGGAGAACGTAAACAATAGAGACTCACAGCGGTGCACAAGAAAAGCAATCTTTGCAGCAGCAGCACTGGGTGGGTTTCAATAAAGCAAGACTTTGCCCAGGCAAAAGAAATGTTAAATTTTTTATTTCAGAAACCAATTAATTTAAAATTAAATGTGAATTGACAACAATTTACATCCAGGCCTTAAGCAATCCACTTAAATTGAATAATGGGTTGTCTGCGCAGCAGAATGACTGAGGTCAAGCTTCCTGTAGATCTGTCCCCTACATCTTAGTCCAACTCTAAAGAAAGAGTACTCCCAGCTCCCCATATAAATGTTGTCACCCTCTCCCCCCATCTTTTTCCCATGCCACCCCATTTGGGGGGGCAAACAGCAGCACGTGCTTTGCTTGGTTTGGGGCCAGGCGTGCTGGCTGATGGGCCAGCACATGGGAGCTGACTGCCTAGCCAGTGGCTACATCTTGGAGGGGGACGGGAGGCTGAGCTAAGGGTGCCAGCGCCTTCTCGCTCGCACAAATTTCCTTTTTACTACTCTCCTCAGCGCGAACCCAGCCACTGACTTCTCTTTGAAGACTTTTAGGAATTTAGTATGTGTAAGACTTATTTTCCTCTGCCAAATTTAAGTGAAAATGGGCAACACATTCAGAATCCGTTATGAGAGCAGGCAGACAGACTGGCAGCACAGTCTTCTAAGCCCCATCTCATTAAGAAATCGGCCACTAAAAGGATGGGTGTAAAAGCCAAAATTTTTATTGGCAGTGAGGCCATGACAGGAGGTCCCTCGCTGTGGAGGCTATGCTGCTGTAGTCCCTTCAGGCGTAGGTGGAGAGTAGTGTATTCATTTCAGTTTACCTCTCTCTGCTCGGTTCCATAAGCAATTCAGAGTCGGGACAGCGGCAGTGGGTTGAGAGACGAGAAGAGCCACGGTACAGCTCAGCAGCCGCCCCTACCCCTCTCCCCTCCGCCCCACCCCCCCCCCACAGCGCCGCTACTCGGCCGTTACCCGGTGGCCACCCCGGCTGAGGGCCGTGACAGCGGCGGGCGCTGAGAGAGCCCGGGGACTACATCTCCCAGCATGCCGCGCGGCGGCACAGCCCGGCCGGGCTCCTCCCTGCCCTGCTTTGCATGCTGGGAGCTGTAGTCTCGCCGGAAAGCGGAAGGGCGTGCGCGCGGGCTCCTCCGCACGCAAACCGCGGGCGCCAGGCGCGGGGCGTGGCTGCGATGGC